GAGACTGTTCCCCAGGGAGTCTCTTGCAGCCCATGGGTCAGGGATGAAGGGATGTGAGAGGCAAGGAGAGCACCTGCAGCAAGAGAATCTGCTGTTCGGCAGCAAGACATGACAGGAGCAAAAACCTACCCCAGAGACAAAGGATGATGTAGAATTTATATCCACCCAAAAAACCTACATGAATTCCTTGACAGAAAAAAAAATAAAGAACATTACTTGCCCTGAGAGAAAATTGTGGGCATCAGGGAGATATTTCTATTTTTCTGTACTGAATAATTTTCAGTCTCTGAATTAAAAAAATTATTATCCTAGCTTCTATTCTAATAAAACACTATCTGTACAATTCAAAAGCCCTATTTTGTCTATGTAATACACCATAAAATATACATACACAAATTCAAATATATATATAAACACATATACCTTTAGCATTGATAGGAGCTATTTTTATTTTTCATTCACTTTGACACGACTGGAGATCCTCCATTTTTGTAAAAACTACTGATAAAAATCATGTTTGCATGAAGAGTATCATCTTTGCTACTAGTGATGATGAGAGAAAATATCACATATTAGATTGTCCCTCTTTGCCTATTACTAGACTGTTTTAAGCAATGGTGACAAACTGCATTGAAAAATAGCAAATGAGATGCACAATGGATTAAAAATTATCCAGGGATGTTGATTAAAAAAATATTCCAACAGTTCATGCAGTATTGGAAGTTAAAAAACTCCAAAACAACCAATATCATAAAGTGAGAAAAACAGATCTAAGGGCTTCTTATTATCCCCAAATGCTTTTCTCATTTTCCCACTATTCTGCTAAGTTATTAATTATAATGAAGAAGAAAAAACTTACGATAAAACACAACTTGCAGCTATTTTCAATGTAACTACTGGCCTTCCAGAGAAACAGCAGACTGGATAAAAGCATTTGGAAGACAGCACCTGCATAAATCTTCTGCCACTAATTTCTGAAAATATACCAAACACTTGCAGAAAGTATCCTCTTTTAACACCTTCCACTTAATTTTCTTTTCAGATTGATTTAATATAGAATTGTAGATGTCTTTTTAGGTTGCAATAGCAATGGTTCAGAATGACAGCTGATTTGAACACCTTTGTACCAGCTGCATGGTACAAAGACAGGATCTCTGTCTCTGCCTTGCTGAGAAAGAGTACATGGATGCACACAAGTGCGCTGTTTTGCTGGCTCTGGGAGCTGATGGAGTTCAGGTGTTCCTGGTGACACCTAGTCAGAGGGTTTGTTATGGCTGCGGAGGCTAGTCTATGCTGTCCTAACACTGATAAAAAGCTAAGAGCTAAGGCACACAGCTCCTTTAAGAATCTCCTTTTCTCACAGGATTAGAAATAACTTAACACTACAGAGAAGCTAGAACAAAATTTTCTAAAATATCAAATCAGCACTTAGAGGCAAGCACAGCGATGTTAAGAGTTGCACCTGCCTGCAAGTACTGCCAACTAACATCCCTAAGGAGATACTGAAATATATAAAATACTACATTTAAGACTATGCCAGTCATTCTTCAAAGCATGATTCTTAAATACACGCTCATAAGCCTAAGTAAAAAGTGACATACGAAGATGGAACTGCTGACTACAAAAAATAACTCAAAAAACTAGGGAGTAAAATGACATATACATAGATATAATATACATATGAATAAACATATGCACATACATTAATACATTTGTGCATACATTTGTTTAAGGGGAAGTGTTTTAAGAAGTTGGCTTGCTGAGTATTTCTCAGTTAGTGTAACCCTTCAGAAAACCAGTGAATTTTTATTAAAAGGATTACAATTTCTGAGGAACTAATCACAAATTTGTCTGATTCAGTGAATGGAGACTGTGCTATAGGCCTAGGAGCAGAGATTACAAAATCAAGTAGATCTACAGCTGGAGGCTGCTGAGGCCAAACGTGAAAATTTAAAAGAATGTCTGTCACATTTATACACCTCACTGATGCCAGACAGCAATTTGCAGCCTCAGGTTCCTTCCTAGACCTAAGACTGGTAATGGATGATCATCACATTGTGTTATTATACAATCTGACTGCCAGCCAGGAGCTCGTACTTGCTCACAGTTGCAGACATTGTGGACTCAGTGCTCACAGGAGCTGTGTATGTACATAAGTAGAGTTCTGGCTTCCAGTCCCAGCCCTCAGGAATTAGTACTTCTGCCTTATATCTGCTCTTGAAAACATAAGCAAGTTCCTTCTGCAGGAATCAGAATCAAAGTTTTATTTCTTGTGGTAACTCCCATTTTCCTGGTAAGCATCCATCCAAGGACAACAAATGTATCCTTGCCTCCACCTCTCTCCAGTTCTCTGATTAGTTGCATTAGCTTGCACACATTTTCACCATAATAATATGTTAGGTATAGTTAACTATCATGCTACTTAGGGAATCCCAAAATTGAAATGTTATATCCCTGAGATTGCATACATAGGATCTACAGATATCTTGTTTTTTTATTTAAGTTAGAGCAAGACAGAAACACTCAGTTCAGCTGAAGTGCCATAGATCTGGGCACATACAGATGAAAACCTTTAGGAGTCTTAGAAACTTTTCTAATAATTACATGAATAGTCAGGAAGGGAATTGTAGTCATCAGAAGCAGCAAGTGAGCACAGGATAGGCGATGCAAATTTCATTCAAAAGTCTACCTAATTTCATTCTTGCTGCCTATATCCTTCTTTAGACCTAGCTGTAGATGCCTAGCTGCAAATACCTAAGCCTCAAAGCAGATAAATAATGCATCATCTGAGTTGACTAACTGATACCAGAAAGAAATATTCTGCTCAAAGTTAAGTATTTTATATACTTTATATATAAAGTTTTAAAAGAGTTGGTTGGCACTTTTGCAACTATGTTTTTATATATATATTATATTGCGATAATAATATTATGCCATTTCAAAACAAGATACTCATACTGACTCGTGGATATGAACATTAATGTTCCACTGATTCTAAGTGTCTTTTGACATACATTTAAGAATCGCCTACAGAATATTTTTATGATGGGAATTTCACACTCTTTTCAGGCTTGCAAAAACAGTTGTCAAGGAAACTAATTAGTTCCACAGTCATAATTGCAATAATGATTCATATAAAGAAGTCCTGATGTTAAATAGTGTAACAGACTTCTTAAAACTACTTTGAGGTTATGGGAGAGCACTGAAAGGAGAAAGTCCCTAAATAGCTATAAAACTGTGTTCAGAGAAAAATGTTCTATCTGTCTTCTGAAACAAAATTAACTAAACTGCTTTTTACTTGAATGTCTAGAGACCATCTAGGTTATCATTTACGCTGGCATGTCATGTTTCTCTCAGTTACAACAGCTGTGGCAATAATATGTAATACTTTAAGTAATTATAGCAGGTTAAAGTTAGATTGCATTGGAAAACAAGTAACATTTGCAAAACCAGGACATCTGTGTTTCAAATATACAAAATTTGAGAATGGCTTATCCCTTCCATTTACCTATATAAGGTTTTATTTCTTTTTCTACTTGATAGATACTTTTATTTCATTGGGACAATAAGCTTTCCAACATTTTTCCCCTTTTATCTTTCGATCATGTAAGGAAATTTTATTTCTGAATGATGGCAATTACAAGGCACTATCGCTTTAAGAACACAGGTCCTATTGAGGACCCAAATTTCAATCAAGATGCAACTGAAGTGCATCAACCAAATATTGGTACTAGAACTGATCTGAACCTATTAATGAATTACAAATGCCTATTCCTTTCTAGAAATGCAAGTAACAGTGCTTCTGATATCAACAATTTGCTATGGAATATTAAAAAAAAAAGCAGAGATCTTGAGATAACTTCTCTGAAAATATGTTTGAAGAAAAATTGCAATACACAGAAAACAAAATTTGTTAGTTATTTCAAACTTTTCTAATGACACAGTGGTCTATGACATTCAAACTCACTGCCACTTTACTAAGATCAATGTTAATCAGATGTTCAGGTATTAATATGGTTTACCTTCTAATATATTGCCCATTATGTTTATTTGGCAAGATTTTAATTTGATTCTAATGCTCTAATAGTTTAATATATGGCATACAGAAAATACTCTGTTACAGGATTTAACAACTGATTTTAAAATTGTAATGATGACACTGATGTAATCTGGAATTTACTATTAAAGCTACCAGCTCATAATTTAGATTAAAAGTTTGAAGTCTCTTCCTAATAACATATGTTTTACAAAAAATTAAAATTACCCATAATAGATCAGAAATTACCATCAAATTTTAGGTTTATTCTGAATGAAATAATTTTGCATTGCTGAACCAAAATATAACTTTATGTTGTGAAGCATTAAAATTTGATAAATTAGTTACTGAAACACACTCACTCTTAAATACTATGCAGTTTTCTTTTAAAAATTCCAAACCTTCCTATTTACACACTTGAAAATATGAACATTTCTACAGATTTTAAAGCTTGTAAATAGAAGGCTGTATGTTCACCATATTAGGGTGAATCAGTAAGATGGTGTTTAAACAAGAATATTTAAACTTTTAACTTCATGAGACACAAAAATAAATACCTTTATTACATGTGTATCTTGAAACACATGTAGAGATATTTTGAGTTGGACTGAAATCAAGAATTCTAACAGTTAAGTTGCTTCCAACAGACAAATAGGCAGTACAAGGCAACTTAGAAATGTATAGCAGGTGTATCTTAAATACTAGATTTCTAGTTAAATGTCATCACCTGGGTTGAAGGTTCAATGTTTCTTCTGTACTTCCAAATTGCTTTATTACTAAGAGAAAAATAGGAAATGAGGCTCCATTTATGGATTTTGAATCGAGCCTTTGCTGATAATAGAGTATCAGGTCTTCGGCTTTGTCAGTTAAAGAAGTCTTCAGTTACCTTATGTTCAACTGCATGCCTAAGTGTAATATGCATAGCAAATAATACTAGAGAGAAAACACTCTAAAATTAACTTACCTGTAATAATGTTGGGCTTTGGTGGCATGCTGAATTCATACAATGTTGGTTCAGAGTAACCCAGTCTGTTGGCAGCTGTGATTTGTACTTCGTAACCCATAGTCCATTGAAGATGCTCTAAGATGATGTGGTCTCTACTACCTTGCACTTTTTTCTCTAGCCACTGGTCTTCCTTATCTTTCTGTAAAGATGCAAATATTAGTTTAAATTCTCAAAACCTCTTGTATTATTTTTCTAAAGTATGTGTCTACATGATGCATAAAAAATAAGGAGTTTCATTTACAGAGGTTATGAATATTCAGATAATTTAATTTTAGAGTTCTGAGTACTCAAGCTTTTTGTAATTTTAAGCACTCCTAATCATGTTTCTACAATGTGGCTTTAGGGATTTTGTAGGCAATCACTTTTAACCTCTTGGCTTCAATTTATACTTTGCTCAAATACGAAGTTTATCTTGGGGAATAGCAAGATAATTATTTACAAATGCTGCTAAGAATAAATTCTGTAAAAGGTTTATTTAATGTAGATGTTTCAATTATATTTTGATCAATGTTCTTTCAAAGAAACTTGCCATTAAATCCAAACTTGAGTTGTTCATGAATGCAGGCTCTGCTTATTTCATACATTAGTTATATAATGAAATGACACTAACATTTTGCAAACCAGTTTGTATGCAACAATATCAACAACATTGACAAAGCATGCAATCCTACACTGTAGAGGACATGTGTAAACCACTACGATAGTGTCCTAGAGAAAAAAAAGAATTCTCATAATACAGATAATTATCTAAGACACCTATATAAAGAGAACAAATGAGGACTTCAGTTGCAATCTTAGTTCTGGCATTTCATAAATTTGGAGTGCTTACATTTGCAACTGCTCTTTTTATTGCAAAATATATTTAATTAATCTTTCTACAAATGAGAATTACAAAATAACTAATAGGTATAAAGGATAAAACAATATATGATGTCCAACACAAAAGCCATTTTGTTCAAAGGAGTATCAACAACAGTCAGTAGGAATCCCTGCAGTCCTATTCTCACTGAACACTGAGGTACAATAGAGTGGAAAAACCTACGGCTGAGAGCCAAATCCTGGCCATCCAACCCATACAGCAACACAGACCCAGTCAGTGGATACAAACTCTCTTGGGTAAAAAAAATACTGGGAAGTATAACTTTTTGCTACTACTACTATGCTTCTCAGCAGCTTATATTTACACTCTTTGCTGAAGCATCCTGCTCTTGACTGATACAAGTGTCAAAGAAAATAGCATCTAGACAGTTTAAGGCCCAATCATGCTCCTTATGCCTGTGGGGTTTTTTGTCCCCAGCCTTCAGAAAATAGTGGCACACTAAACGCCCTTATGTGCACTGCTGCAATAACTTATTTGCAATAACTTATTTGCTACACCTTTTCTTAAACTCTTTCTTGCTTCTTCTGCACTGGCATTGGTACTGACACATGATAGTCCTGGGAACGATTAAAATACAGTGAAACATCTTTTCAGGAACATTTGCTGCAAGGTGAAAGTGCCCACTTGGTGCAGCAGTAGACTAATGAAAAACATCAGAATGGTAGTCACATTACAAATCATGAAAAAACCTAAATACACTGGAGTAACAATAGTTTAGTCATCATACAGTGAAAATTGTATTTTCTGTCAAGGATATTTTCCCAAATCCTCGTGGATAATTTATCTTGCAATCACCTGGCATGCCACTGAATGAATACAGCTACATTTACTTTCCATTGAGTAAATCCACTTATCACTACATCAAACTACTCTTACAATATATCTTTTCATACAGCACTGCTAAAATAACAGAAATTAATAACAATTGCAATATGCATATACAAATACTCCTTAGTTATATTAGGAATAGCAATATTATGTAGCACCATATTTTAATGGCTATTTAAATTGGCGAACTTTGGGATGAGTTAGGGAAAAAAACCCAACTACTAGATTCCCAAGAATAACAACATGAGAGAAATCAGAAGATCCATACATGATCTTGGGGTGTGTGTACAATACAACTGTATGAATATACTGGGGAGTACCAAAGAAGTTCAGAATCACAGAAGGACAAATAATACTTGAAAATAAAGATTCAGGCTAATATGGTTCCTGTGGGTGGAAAAGACAGCACTGCAAACAGATATATGACCATATTTTGAAATCAAACTGTAGAATTATGTGATGAATAGAATAATCTTAAGATTTGGAAGGAAAACTATACAGATTTTTGTATGAGGCTGCTCTTTTGCAGACATAAAATTACGTGAAAAGGCGTTGTTCCACAGTTTGGTCAGGTGAAGAATAATGTAAGAGCTGAAACGTAGCAGGATACCTGCATGCTATGCCAGAGAAGTGACACCCTAAATTTAGTTGAAAGTGAAGCCAATCAGGTGGATTGAGACAAATGAAACAAAGTCCAAGCCCTGAGCTCAAAGACAACGAAATGTTTTATGAAGAGTGACAAACACAATTTAGGAGGAAGAAGAAGAAGAAAGTAAGTATCTGGAAAACAAGTTGTCTTCTTTTAAAGATAAACAGATGTCTTCCCAAACACAGTCTGCTTTTGGCATCTTAAAGAATAAAAGAACTGCAATGTCCTTCATTATAGCTGTTATTTCATATGTATGTTCAAGCACTTTTTACTAAATAGAGATCAGTAATGTGCCCATATTTATTTTACTATTAGTGTAGAAAAGGAAAGAGAGGGACAAGAACACAAAACAAGAGTCTGTCAGTTAAATCTTCCTACAAATCTCCCCGTTTATGCTAGCATCCTCTAACTGGTAGCTTAAGGAGCAGAAAACAGAACTACAAAAGAGTATTTCATACCTTATTAGGCTGTTCTATTTTTAATATTACTGAAAATTAATAGAAAGCCATACATATGCACAGTGTTCTACAACAAATGAAAGAAACATCTAAATTAAAAACTACAGTCTAATTTGAGAGGTAAGCTCATATAAATGTCTTCAATAATCATTTATTATTAGCAGTTGTATCATTAATATCCACCAACAAATGCATATTTTTAGGAGCTTCAATCAGATCTGAAGCCTCAGAGATTAAACTGTTCCTTTATTTGCAGTGGATTTTTTTTTTCATATAACGTGGAAATACTCTTTTACAGAAGGTCACTAATGCTATGAGACTAACCAATTGGCAATCTCTGGGGGTCTTACTGCCCATTTCCATTAGTCTTAAGCCTTAGATTCACACTGTCCTCTTCTAAGTACAAGTCTTTGGGTGAAACAAACCTGCCACAATGCCACAGACTAATGATACTAGAAAAAAGGAAAAAAAAAATTGTTATTTCTTAATTGCATGTATATTGGCTTTAAATGTTATAATCAGCCAAATTTACCTCACAAGTGCCTAAGAGCTAGATTTCTAAGACAACTCTAAGTAACCTAAGCACCTAAATACTCTGGCAAAAAAAGTAAACAAAGCAGTGTGAAACTCCAATTTACCATGACTTCGTGATTTCTCAAAACTGAGGGCATATCTGACAACAGTGGAAATAAAGCCAATCCACTGTTCAGGCAACTAACTGTTTACTAGTCTAGAAAATAACATTTCTTTAATGGTCATTTTACATTTTACCCAAGATCACATTATCTGGGAACTCATAAAAAATGAGGAAAAGTGATTAACTCCTTCAACCCTTTCCCTTATTCTCCATCCTTCCTAAATTGTTTCACTGAAAGTTCACCTCAAACAGACTTGTTTGAGGACGTGCCACACTGTCTTGAAAACTGAGAAGAAAAAATATCAAGAAATCCTCCCAGAAGACAATGTCATAGTTTAAAGCAGTGACTTCTCAATAATTCATTATATTAGTGGTGCTTTGTAGGTCTGGGTAATACAGGACAAATATCGAACAAAGCACAATAACTGGCCGATAACATATATAGTCTTAAAATGCACAGGGAGTCCAAGATCTGGCAGGTAAAGTGGAACTTAGAGACGCCAACAAGGAGAGGTGCTATGCTGGACCTTGTTCTCAGTAATGAGGAGGGGCTGGTGGGGTATGTGAAGCTCAAGAGCAGCCTTAGCTGTACTGACCATTAAATTCATGCAATCTTATATAGTTCAACCAGGCCCAGTGCAAGGTCCTGCACCTGGGACAGGGCAATCCCAGGCACAAATACAGGTTGGGCAGAGAATGGATTGAGAGCAGCCCTGAGGAGAAGGACTTGGGGGTGTTGGTGGACAAGAAGCTCAACATGAGCTGACAATGTGCACTGGCAGCCCAGAAGTCCAACCACAACCTGGGCTGCATCAATAGAAGTGTGGCTATTATGCCCCTCTGCTCCATTCTGGTGAGACCCCAGCTGGAGTACTGCTTCCAGCTCTGGACTCCTCAGCACAGGAAGGACACGGACCTGTTGGAATGGCCACAAAGATGAGGGCTGAAGCACCTCTGCTGTGAGGACAGCCTCAGAGACTTGGGGTTTTTCAGCCTGGAGAAGAGAAGGCTCTGGGGAGACCTTACAGCAGCCTTCCAGTACCTAAAGAGGGCCTACAGGAGAGATGGGGAGGGACTCTTTATCAGGGAGTGAAGTGACAGCAGAGGGGTAATCTCTTCAAGATAATAGACGGATACATATTTTTCGGGACTAGTGGGCAACACTGTGCACCAAGCACCAATTCACAATTACAATGTGCAGCTACAGAATATCAACCACGGTCAAAATGCACTTGAGCAGTAAGCACAAACTTTTGCTTGTGACTATGTGAGTTGTGGGTGAGTGATTATAACTGTGTCGTGATCACACTTTGTTGTTATGTTCTTTCTGGTGCTAATCTTAACCTATGTAATACCTTCCAAAGGATGTTTTGTAGCCTGCCTTTCTCTTCCAGGTCTGTGCCTGGTCACCCATGTGCCCTGAACTGCTGTGGCAGTCTCTCCTCTCTATCAAATGCCCCTTCCTCCTGGTTTTCCTTAGCTGCTCACCTTCCCCTTAGTTTGTACTAGTTCTTCAACCTTCTCTAGCTTTTAGTTTATTACTATTGTACTTAGTAAATAACACAGCAGATAATAGCCATTTACAGATTCAGTACGCATTTCCCCAGTACTTGACATGCATGGAGCTTAACATCCATTGTGCAACACCAGCAACCAACCATGTGTACCCCAACCAATATTCATAGTGTCATAAGCAGGAACAACCAGAGGGGAGCTTGAGTCAGTCTCCATTAAAATTACACAATTACTGTGAGAAATGTTGTTAGGGGGTCACTTCCTGCATTGGACAGGATGCTTGTCTAGGGAATCTTCCTGGCTGGCTACTGGGGAGCAGTATTGCTTTCTCTTTCTCTGTCTCCTCCTATTCTTTCCTAAGGTAACTTTGAAGTCAATGTATCATATCAGCTTCAGGCTCCATCTCTTGACTTTCATTGTGCAACAGCATGAATCAATTTGAGGCTGCTACTCAAAAAAATTTCATAGCACCTACTTCTTTGGAATATAGAACAAAATGAGAAGGTTTTAATTATCTGATTATAGTTAGTAAGTTCTCTCCATAATATGAAATAACTGATGCTAGGAAAGCTATATTTGACAGAATGAAACACATGATTTCCAGAAAAAGAAAAGTTACAATTTCCCTAAACCAGCCTATAATATCACTATAATCTTAAAGGCTGTTCTTCTCCCAATTTAAAGTAAATAAATAAATAAATAAGTAGAAAGCTTAAATATGAGGGAACTGAGTCTTAGTAAGACATAGGCTGTTATGAAACACAAAGAAAAAGCCACTGATGACTAGCTTGTTATCCTATATGCTCATTAAACATGCAAGCAAATACATTGGTCCAGGTGCTAATAATGAAGCTGGCAAGAGTTATAGAAAAGCTAATTAAATACGACCAATGGGGAAGATAGAGGAGAAGCAGTCAACAGATAATTAAGAACTTTAAATAGCATCCATTCATTCTGATTAAAACACCAAAAATTATTATGCTTTTTGTTGTAGGAAGGCCTTTGATTTAGTCAAATTGCTTTTTCAATTGGAAGCTTAAGGAGATATGGATTTGAGGTCCGAGTAAAAGCTATCTGCTTCAGTAACCTATTAAGTTTCCAGTTACTGTTTAAACTGTACATTTATCTTTCAACTATACAAATGAAAAATGACCTTTTATATTATAATACTGTAACTTAGTCAAAACACAAGATCAAAATCAGGTTTCCAAAAATATACAGGATAGGTCCAAAATCATTTAGCTTGTTTAAATCACAGAAACAGATTTAATTCCTTATACTGCATGCATACATGATATCCAAACAGTTTATCTTCTTATCTTCTGAATTATAAATAGAGGCATTGTAATCTAACTAGGAAGCTCAGTCCCACAAAACTGCATTGTATCTTGTATGGCATATTTTACTACCTTCTTTTTTCTTTGCCATTACTTTTCTTTTATGCCAACTGTACTCACTGGACTGAAAGTCATTTAAGAAGGTCAATTAAGATTTAAGGAACAGTGATATCAGAATAACTGCTGGTTATTCCCTTAGGCTACTCTTAAAAGCTCCACCAAATTTTTCTCAATTGCTTTGGAGCTACCAATTTGCTTTGGTTATATTTAATTTAGGAAAATAATTGTACATGCCAGGTTTAGCACTTGGATAATCCCAGAAATATTACCTGAAAGTTACATTATCAGAAACACCAGAAAATGTGACAAAAATTATTACAAAATAAGGAACTGGCTTTTCCTTTTGGGGAACACTAAAACAGGTTCTGCATTTAATTTCTCAAAGATTTCTTAAATCTGTTAAATACAGTCCTCACTACCTTCTGTTCAACGTGTCCAAACATCTTGTGTTACATTCCCAACCTCTTTTAGGCTCTCAAAACAGCCATGTAAATACGCCATTGAACTCTGGTAAAATGTCTTTTTCCTTGGTCAAGTCAGACAAAAGAACTATAACCTTGCTAAAAGAGCAGAAAGTATTAGAAAATGCACACTTTTTAAGTACATTCATCGCTTTTACTAGCTGTATAGTTACTTTTTCAACCCTGTCATTTCTAAACAGAGCATATCAGGAAAGGAAGGATATTTAGCTACTTTAATAATAATAATTTAAAAAAAACCACACTTTTTTTTCATAGAAAAAGAAAGTACACATTGCAAAAAATCCAGTCTTCTAAAACTGCCAGTTAAGAACACCTAATCAGACTCTAGGTGACAGATGACAAATAAATTCTCCATAATGGCTGTTAAAAAACTAATGTGTACACTGAGACTCATGGAAGTCCTAACAATTTGCCGATTATTTGGCTTCTTTAAGCTGACCCTTGGAACGCAGAAAGATAGAAAAAACGAAACATGATCAGATAATTAATCTCATTTAAAATTAATATGGAGCACTGGAATATAGCTTTCTATCTCTAGAAAGCTATATATCAATACAGACACATTTGTAACAGGTTAATAATTTCCTGTTCAAACAACCCTTAATTATGTAACTTTAATGTCTGCTAATTTACTGCACTTTTGAAAGCTGAACATGAATGTTCCTCATTTATCCTCTAACTAACCAGAGAACATAGCTTTCTTGTTAGAATGAACTTTCACTTATACACTTAGGAAGAGCAGGGCATAATGTGGCATTAGCAACTTAGTCACAAGAGAAAACATACTATACTGTATGTTCTTTTCTTGCAAAAAATGCACAGTATTTTGTTACATTTCAAATCATATCAACATTCCTCTTCACATGAAAAGCAGATATTACTAAGCAAAACACGCTTATTTTGATTAACTGAAATACTTACACTTCTGTATTTGACAATATATTCCAAAATGGGGGCACCTCCATCATCTTGTTTAGTTATGCTAAGTTTAAAACTCTTGCCACTTCCTGGTTGTCCATGAATTGAAGGAGGGCTTGGCTCCCCTAAACCAGGGAAAAGCAGAAGTTAATAATTCAGCAATCACATAAGTCTTAAATTACACATGGGAACTTGTCCTCAAGATTATTAATCAAAATCTTTAAAGTGAATATGATCCTTCCAAGCACTGAAGACCATCCTTAGTAAGTGTGTTAAATATTTCAGTTAAAGTATATTTTAGTGTAGATTAATTATCTCACACAAGGAAACATAATTATGTCAAGTATGAAAGTATTTGTTTCTTTGAGACTTTCTGACTCTTGACACTTTCAAATGTAATTTACTTCAGAATTATTTAGCCATCAGCTCAGCAAGGCTGGTGAGCTGCTTGTCACACTAATGTTTAAGAGTAACCTTAAGCATGAGCTTTAGTCCCCTGTGTGAGATCTAAATTGAAATATAGATATTAGGTAAGTTAACTCTTCAATAAATGGGCTAAGGCAAAATTAGATACTTCTGGAGCAGCCTATATTAATAATAAATATGAAGAATAAGATTTCCAAAAGAAAAAACAATTTTCTCTGTAATGAAAGGATAAAAATAATCTTAAATGTACAATTCAAGGGTTAATAGCCAGCTTAAGCCACTTTGTTAATGGAAATTCACATAATAATAATAATAATAATTTCTTTAAGTTTTAAGTCAGATCCTAAATGAAAATGTGTTGTCATAGTGAAGTGTCTTATCTTCAAAATATCTGTAAATTTGCATTCACTCAGAGAAATTCAGTTCCTTTAGGAATATTTTTAATATTTCTGTTTATCCCTTACCATGGTAAAGATAAATTTGCATAGCTTTCTATCAGATTATATATATATATTATATATATATATATACACACACATTTTCTATTGGTATCTATCACTTTTAATTAGCTATGATGTTCCATAAGAATAATAGAATTTTTCATTCAATATATTTAGAATATGCATATGCTTTAATAAAAATGAATTTGAAAGCTGCCAAGTTACTGGTTTTGGACAGAAGAAATATATAAATAAGAACATTATATAATAACATGGAAACATTTTCTGTTCTTTGTAGTCGCGTGACTTATTGTTCATTCCATTACGGCCAATATTCCTAACTATACTGAGTAATGCCCTACTCAGAAAACAGTTCAGCGACAACAGATTCATGAGACACTAATCTAGTAATAATTGCTGATATGTTTTGGTATATATGCTTGAGTACTATACAGTGCCATCTGATAGTTCCTTCATTTTTCTTCTCTGTGTTCAATACATTTGTTATTGTTTCTATTTAAAAGTAACTTGAGAAAAATATTTTTTCATTAGCCCTTAATATTTAAATCTGAATTTCTTGTTTATAAAGGTTACTACAAAGATAGAACAGCTTCACAGTGTTTTTTCCATAGTTTAAGATTTCTGTTTGAGACTTGAATTTGCTGAAGAAACGTCTCCCGAAAGGGCCAATTCATTTCTCATAGATACCTATAATAACCTAAATGTAAGTGACAAGATGGCCTTAATCTAATAGCTTTCACAGATTGTACTCTTGAATAAAAAAAAAAAAAAGGTTTGTCTAAGTCTCAAAAATATAGGTAATGGGATACATTCTCCAATTGAAGTTCATTCATGTTACTTGGTAGAAGGGAAACAAGAGGAACAAAACATGATTTCTGAGAAACAATGTAAAGACTGATGTTACACATTGGGAAGTAGTATATAAATATAAAACACATTATCCACAGTGAATCAGACTTGAAATTATTAGCTGATCTGCAGACAAAAATATTCCAATATGCATTTATATTTTCACTTAATTCATATATATTTCACAAGTATTACTCACGGACAGGTAAAGTCTGAAAGATCTCGATTTTGCTATACTCTCCTTGGCCTTTTCCATTTACAGCAGCTACTTTGATTTCATAGGTTGTATTTGGTTCCAAATTGCTGAGAACAACCATTGCTAAAAGAAAGGAAAGAAAAAATATAGGAAAAAAATTGATGATGCAATAAATTTTAAAAACAGAAGTCAGGCAATTTCATAATTTGTTTGCTTCACTTGCAACTTAGAGTCCTGTTTTCTAATAGTCTAATGGCTCCAAACTTAGGTTTCTTCTTGAGTGGTAGTAGTCCCTTTTTTTTCACCTGCCTAAAAACACTGTTGTGACTGAGCAAGTTATGCTTATGAAGGAATTTAATTATGTCCATGTAACAGAAGCCATAAGCAACAATTAAGGGCTTTGATGGCAATTAACGTTTTATGTTCAGAATGTGAGCACAGGAAACATGAATCTGGCAAAAAATTATGGAAGTTTCCTTTCTCCTAGCTGGCAATGGGCATCTGACGCATGTTTAAGTGACCTTCATACAGTTCATAACTTGCCATTTTTCCCTCATGAAGAGCAGTACCAGTTAGCCTTGGTCTACTCTTCTGGGTGCAGCTAGTGGTGAATTACTGGGGCTATGGTCTGCCAGCTCAATAATCTATTCAAGACCTAAAATGACAGGTAGTTATGATGATCAAAGCAAGAGTCCTACTAAGGACCTGAAATTGAATTAGGCATGTTTGTACATATTTAAGAGAAGGTGTTTGGAAATACATATACATTGGAAATGCAATACAACCAAAAAAGTGATTTGGGAAGCAAACGAGTTTGAACTTAGGACATGCTTTCAGAAATCAAGACTGAATCCCTGGCAGCAATATTTCACACAGCTTGAATCTATCTCTGTGATTCTACCTGGAGATGCCATCAGAAGCAGAAAACAGGAGGAAAATCTTGCCAAAAAGAATATTGTACAGCACTAAGAATATTGTTGGTGTTATACACAGAAGCAAATCTTGAAATGAAATGCAGGAAAAGGATGTTGGATTCCAGGATCCTTTATGGGAATGCAGTATTATATATTACCATAGTTCTGTATATTAATAATACCAATATTGAATATGCACTTGGAAACTTCAATCCACAGAGTTCTTCGATCATTACCCTGCCTTTACAAGAAAGCATCCTTGCTGTCTCTACAGCAATTGCCTTTTGCTGTTTGCCAGCTCTGTGATGAGCTCTGCAGATGTCAGATTCATACTGGGGAATGGACACAAATTGGATGGACTTTACTTGAAGCACATCAGTATTTGTCTTGCCCAGAAAAGCAGGGGCTGTATTATCTTACAAAAGGACACAGAATTGAACTGTCTTGAGAAAGAGCCAGTAGTCTCTTTCTCTGTCTCCAGAGTTCTTAGCTTTTTTAATTATAGAGGAGTATTTTAATACTTCCTTTAGGCTTGCTTTTTAAGTTATATGTTTAAAGAAAGTATAATTATTTCTCTCAGTACTCTGTGTTATTCTTTTGAGTACTGACTTATTAGAATTTCTATTTCTTTAGTTTCTGCAGCAGACAGATACAGGTTCCATTACAAGTGGAGCTAAAGCAATTTAACGAAATTTGGATAAACAGTAACTTTTACATTTCACACACTATTATAAGCACTTTACATGAATTTGCCATTGAAACATGATAACTGCTTTCTTGTAAACAAAACAGTAGAACTGCGTGTCTTCCAGCACATTTTAGCTTTATCTTTTCATGAGATTTAAAAATATAGAACTATAAAATCTAACCATGTCATGAAAAAATAAAGTACCACGATGAGAATAAGAACAGAATTTGGAGAAGAGAAGGATTATGATATATAACATTCAGTTATGGTAAGATGAAATTTAAAGCTTAAACCAAGCAGTAGCAGTATTTGAGTTGCCTTTTAGCCATGATTACTTTTCAAGGCTGAATAATTTCACTGAAAATAAACCTTCGGGCATACTAAAAAAATCAGTGTTACTGTAAACATTTTTAAAATTTAAGCAACATAAAGGCATGATTATGAGTCTACACTTAATAAAACGCAAATCTGTTAACTACATAAACCTAAGGATCTGATTCTATAAGCACTTCAGTGACTCCTGGGGATTATCTAAATGAATAAAATTACTTATATATGCAGTATTTAAAGAATCAGTGTCCCCTTTAATACCCTGCACACACTATGTGTCTAGATAGAATGACTCTTACAAATACATTTATGGAATTAACCGAAGTAAATCTGATAGCACAGTAAGTCCTCAAAAACTGAAACCACGTGGTATCAGTGATGGTATGATGTGGGTATGTTTTATACACAGGAAAGAAATTATGTCCTCCTGGAAAATGAAGAAATGAACCATTTTGATCAGAACACTTTAAATACTCCAGTTGTAAAAGAATATTTAGAATAATTAAGTAAGATTAAGGAATTGTTCCACAGTATGTATCAAAAATGCAAGGCTTAAAAGTGATCTAAGAGTAGTGAAAAGTTTCCCTGCTTTCTAAGTGTTGTTCATTTTTGAAATAAGTTGATAACGGAAGAAAATAATAAACTAGGCTTGATTTTTTGTTTGTTTGCTTGTTTGTTTGATTTTAAGGTACATATCTGTAATTTATGTATAAAATCAGCTTATTCACCTTTCCATATACGGATGAAAGTCTAACTTACAGGAGTCCATATCTCACAGCCCTGGTCACAATGGATATTTTGATTACAATTTTCAATGATCACTGAAGAAATTAGCTGTAAAATTTCAAATAATATTCTGAAAGAAATAGAAAGAAATATAGGACTTTCAGTATATGAATGTGAAAAAATCACTCCACTGCATAGTGTATGTGTGAATTACACCATTGGCATATTCATTTGCACATATCAAGTCCCAAATATAATGAAAGTGAAATTCCTTTATTTCTTTCAGAATATGACTTGAAATTTTTCAGTCTTTTTCTACCTGTCCTATCTGTCTGCTTCCGGTTTTATGTTTTCTTCCTAAACACAGTATCTGCATGCTTTATTTGACGAACCCAATTTTGTAGACTAGTTGATTTTGCCAATCACATAGTGATTGGTTACACTGAGGAGCAGACTTTGAAGAACTTCTCCAAAGAGGAAGAAACAGAAGATTCTCTTGTGAACTTTGCAGGTATTGCTGGGCTCAGTCACCATGGTGCACAACAGCTCAGACCTTAGCGTTTTCCACTTATAAGAAGACAGACAGGGAGGATGCAAATCACATGGAACCCTTAGAGGAGATCATGATGCAAGAAGCTACCGGTTATTTTGGTTCTGGTTTAGTATACTGTATAGAGAGTTAAAAAAAAAAATTATAAATACCATTTTGACAGGGTATGCAAGAAACATTTTTTTTATACTTTGTAGACCAGAATTTCAAAAGAAACAGAAAAACAAAAAAGAATTAAGCCTTACCAAATAGCAAAATTTAGGTTAACCTATTCTGTGGCAAGAATCCTAACATGTAAGCAACATTAAAAATAAAGTCCTTATTTTTCATTATACAAAAATATTATATATCTTTCTACCAATCTATTTATCTATACATACATACATATTAGATTCTTCTAATTTGCAAGCAAATTCAAAACATTAGAGGACAAACACAATACAGAAAAAAAAGCCACAAAAAATTATAGATAGACAATCAGTGCAGAATTCCATATTATTTAAAATACAGAGTGGAAGCATTTCAGCTAGAATTGCAGAATTTTAGCTGCTTTTAAGATGAACCATAAGAAAACAACATCTGACACAAGATTTCCTGTGAAATAAATTATACCATAAATCTGAGTCAGTAAAAACAAACCAAAAATCTCCAGCTGCTTTTCTGGTCCAGGGGTTGTTTATATTACCTTATTACAGTAGAATGAGAGGGGAAATGTCTGGCATACTAAATTGTCCTTTCATCAAAGGATATCTACCTAGAAATTTCTAAGGACTATGATCTATTACGTAAACCATGACCAAAGCACAGAAAGTTAGAGGAATTAACAGCACAGTTACACCACATTAGTCCCAAAGTAAATCTTATGCAACGTTAATGTAGAGAAATATCATATCTATACATTGTTCTTATTGAAGAGATACCTGTTGGGTAGAGCAAGTTCTTAGAGTTCCAAATTTAATCCCTTGAGGACGTCAGGTCTAACTAAAGTAAGATATAAATTTATTTTGAAACAAAGTAGCTGAGACATATAATTGCTGAAATATCATATTAATTCATATATATTTCAGACAGTGGTAGCACTGTGAAATCTGTCAAAGAAGTATTACAAATTTTAGGATGAGCTTTTATTTCTTTCCCTTTAGTCTGAATCTCTATTATTTTGCCGACTGAATGCAGATTGAATACAGTGCAGGTTAATAAGTGGAGTGTTTTGATTTATTGAATTTTGAATTTACCTCTAACTCAGTTTTTTACTGCTCTCAAAGAGAAACTGAGTCCGCAGGAAATGAATCACAGAGGAAAAAATTAACAGAATTTTTATGAAGCTTAAACAGGTTTCTCTTTATGATGATGACTCGTGTTCTTTGAAGTACAGGAAGAGAGCGGTGAGGAACCTACATGGCAGTAGGAGAACAGTGAAGAACCTATGGTATTATAGCATTAAGTTCCTGTATGAATGTCTCAGACTTTTTTAGATGCCTCACAATCTGAGGAACTCCCCACCTCTGTCTGCCTGGGAGGAGCAACACAGTTTTGTCCACGATAGGAGGAAGAATATAAAAACTTTTTTTCTAGCTGAGCTCACAGAAGGGTTGACAAAATGAAGTTAGAAATTGCCACGAGGGAGAAATACAGGGGAAAAAAAAGGAAAAATAATTTTGCTACACAATAGGTAAAATGTTTATTCATATGCAAAAACAGTCACATTGTCTCAGTTCCATCTGTCTGCCTTGTCCAAATAACAATTAATTTCATAAATACTCATTCCAGCATCTGGCTATAATGTCAGAATTCAACTAACACAAATAAATGAACTTAATAATGAAAATATTTCAAGTTGCACATTATATGAAAAAACATAATGGTAGCAAATCCTACTGCCAGTTAAATAATGAGCATAACTTCCGTTAATACA